AACATAACAACAACATGACTGTATGGGCTCTAGCCAATGGTTTGACTGGATGGTCAGGGATTTGGAAGGAACGTGATTAGAAAATTGGTGACAAGGAAGTATGGGGAATAGGTATGTTGATAGACCTCTCTGAATGGGGTGAGGAAGTGAAGATATTTTTGCTTCATGTGAATGCTCACCAAAGGGTGACTTCAAAAGAGGAGGGTGACATGTTCTGTGGAAACTAGTCATCCTCTTTCCCCAGCCACTCCTGTCACTGCCCAATGGGCTCATGAACCAAGTGGCCATGGTGGCAGAGATGGAGGTTATGCATAGGCTCAGCAACATGGACTTACACCAAGGCTGATTTGGCTATAGCAACTGCTGAGTGCTCAATCTGCCAGCAGCAGTGACCAACACTGAGTGCCTGGTATGGCAGGCACATTACTCAAGGTGATCAGCCAGCAACCTGGTGGCAAGTTGATTATGTCAGACTGCTTCTATCATGGAAAGGGCAGCATTTTGTTCTTACTGATATTTACTCTAGATATAGATTTGCCATTCCTGAACACAATGCTTCTGCTACAACTAACATCTATGGACATACAGAATACCCTTATCCATTGTTATGGTATCCCACACAGCATTGCCTCAGATCAAGGGACTCACTTCACAGCAAATGAAGTGCAGCAATGCACCCATGCTCACGTGGAATTCACTGGTCTTACCATGTTCCCAACATCCTGAAGCAGCTGGTTTGACAGAACAATGGAATAGCCTTCTAAATACACTATTATGGTGTCATTTAGGTGGCAATACTTTGCAAGCTTGGGACAGTGCTCTCCAGGAGGCTGTACAAGCTCTAAACCAGTGTCCAGCATATGGTGTTGTTTCTCCTATAGCTGGGATTCACAGGTGGAAATGGAAACGGCACTACTCACTATCAACCCCCTTGACCCATTCACAAAATTTTTGCTTCTTGTCCCTACAACCTTGTGCTCTGCAGGGCTAGAGGTCTAAGTTTCAAAGGAAGGAATGTTCCCACCTGGAAACACAACACTGATTCCATTGAACTGGAAGTTAAGAATGCTACCCAGGTGAGACTTCTGGCAAGATGGAGGAATAGGCAGACAAGTCACACACACTGTCCTCAACAAACAAAAGAGAACCAATTGACAGAGATACGGAAGAACACCCTGGAGCCCTGAGCTTTGAAATAAAGCACACAGAAGTGGATGAGGCACCAACTACTGGAAAAACCTGAATGAAAACAGTGAGTACAGAGATAGTCGGAGCAGGGAACTGTCAGTTACTCTGATGGGACTAGCAGGCTGAATATTTTCAAGTGGTGTTGGGACCTGAGAATTGACCTAAAGATTGGCCCTGGTCGCCAAGGGCTGCAGGGACGACTGTGCTGGTAGCCGGTGACTAGGAAGGGAAATAGCAAGGAGGGAGACAACCTCAGCTGTGGACTTTCCACTGTCCAGAGGATGCAGCCATTTTGAATGTTTATAAGTGGCAGCCATTTTGGATATTTAAAGTGACCGAGGGTGAAGCCATTTTTAATCTTTACAAGAGGCAGCC